CCCTTGAAGGGGCCCCCCTTGAGGGGGGCCCCCCTGAGGGGGGCCCCCCTGAGGGGGGCCCCTGTGCAGAGGGGGGCCCCCCTGAGGGGGCCCCCCGTGAGGGTTGTGGTGGGTTTTATGAATTGTTTATGCAAGTGAATTGGGAGCCTTGCGATGGAGACCAAGTGCTTCGAAATGGAGATATAATTATCCACAATAGCCTGGTTTTGGAGGTAGCTAAAACCCTAAACCCTAAACCCTAAACCCTAAACCCTAGCGGGCAAAGGCCCTTTTCTGTGCCTTTTTGCCCTCAACTGGTGCAAAAGAGGCAGGAAAATGAAGCGGGTTTTTGACATTTGTTGCATTTGAATTAAAAGCTTTTTAAATTGCATTTATTTCTTCTTTTGCTGCTTTTAATTCCCAAACTTTTCCATTTCTTCCTTCCTTTTTGCTGCCTCCAGCTAGCAGCACCAAATACCCCCGTTAGGCTTCTCTATGAAGACTCCAAAATCCTTTGCGTCTTCAAACCCTCAGGCATTCCGTAAGTCCACAATCCTACACAAAGGGCCCCCAAGGGGGCCCCCAGGGGCCCCCAGGCGGGCCCCCAGGGGCCCCCAAGGGGGCCCCCCAGGGGCCCCCAAGGCGGCTCCCGAGGAGCCCCCAGAGGGGCTCCCCAGCTGTTCCAAGGGGGCCCCCAGGGGCCCCCCAAGGGGCGCCCAGGGGCCCCCAGGGGGGCCTTAGGGGGCCCCCTAGGGCTCCTGGGATGGGTCCATGTTGTTGTTTTGTGTATGTCTGCTGCTGCTGTGCTGCTGCTGCTCTGCTGCTGCTGCTGCTGTGCTGCTGCTGCTGCTGCCGTGCTGCTGCTGTTGTGCTGCTGCTGCTGCTGCTGCCTTGCTGCTTTGATTAGTTTGTGAATTTAATTATTTTGAATTTATTTGTTTTCAATTTAGAGTCCATCCCCAGGGCCTCTACCGCAAGCAGTCGCTGCTCAACCGCCTCAAGACTTTCCACTATAAAGACGAATCAAGTAAGTAATAAATCAGAAAATAGATTTAATTTAATTTTTAATTTAAATTTAAATTTAAAATAATAATAATAATAATAAATACTTTTTATAATTGTAAATAGATGCATGCGAAAACGAAGGTAGAAGCGCAGCGCCGCCCGAGAAGCGCACAGC